TATTCTAACGGCACCACCTGTTATTGGGATAGTTGTTGGATTATTGTCATGTCAATCACTGTAAGCTGCAGGAAAATAAGTTAGCGAATGCAGATGCGATTACATCGTTTCGTCTCTTTCCTTTTAGCTTGTTTTTATTTGAAATTTTTGTTTTCCGATTTGATTAGTGATTCATTCCCACATTGCTGTGTGCATTCATTGTAAATGACTGATTTGATTATATTTTAATTTTGACTCAAGCATTCGCAAAGCCTTCCCATTTTTTTAATCCAAGCCCGGGCTTGGAATGCAGAAGGACTGCTTTGGGAGGTGGGATTATGGGCAGGGCCAACTGGTCAGCTGCCCACTGGTCTCAATTGAAATGGCTACGCCTATTCATTTCACGGATTGTGCCGACTGAAGTATTTTTCCATGAAAAATGTGTCACGAATGAAGGATTTATTAGTTCATTTATTTTTAAGGAACCATTCTAAGCCTTTGCACTTCAGGAATGTTAAATTTATGACTTTCAGCGTCGTGGACTTGTTCTATCATTCTTAGAACTAATGTAAAACGCGCTCTTTCTGTAAAACCATTCACTGTACATTGCTGCAATCCCATTTATTCATTAAATGGGTTACAATAATTATTACTAGCACAGTAGATCTTTAATTATCCGGATTAACTTAGAACCTCCTAAAATACGGATAAATGGTTTGCACTTTTATTTGTCTGATTAATGCATTCATTAGATTATACAAGGTGTCCCTCTCAAAAGGGACCTACGGAAAGTGTGATAAAAGTCTTAGAGCATGAGTAAGTGAAACCAAATTTTTACATGACGTATCTTTATGTTTAAGATATGCAAGTGCATTATAAGAGGTGCTGGAAGTGATCTTCCCCACCTGAACAGAAAAATTAAAATGGCACTGCATGGTCATATATGTTGCTGCCGGAATATTGGGCGTCACCGCCTAAATTTCACGGTGGATGTTCTGATGTAACTCGTGTTTGCTGCGTGGTTTAGGTTGGATGCATTACATTTAAGGCGAAGTCACAGGAAAACGTCAAAGGGAGTCAAGTATGAAAAAATGATTCCACAGACGGGTGGCATATTTTCTCATTTTGCTGGTACTTGCGAAATGTCACCTGATCACCAACCAACCGGTTCAAAAATTCGTGAAACACTGTTTGTTACTACACTGCGATAGCAGGTAAAAACAAATTTGCCCAATGACGCGCGTTGTGATAAAGCACTGAACACGCCCATCTTCTGTGAACGGAAAGGTTCCTCGACAACTGCATGTCACTACTTTGTAAACGTGTGTTTTGTTAGTTTACTTATCCTAACAAGTGGAATCACAGTTCATCACTATACAACGTCTACTCTAGCAATAACATACACGAAAATGTAGCGCTGTGATGAAGTGTGCATACTGGTCGGGGAGAGGTCACTTCCAGAACCACTTGTAATGTACTTTCATTTCTCAAAACATAAAGAGTTGTCATGTAAAAATTTGATTTCACTTCCCCTTGTTATAAGAGTGTGAATTTCATCACACTTTTGCCGGGGCCCTTTTCGAGTGGGACCCCCTGTAACAAACCACATTAAGATTAGCTGCGTTAGCAGATGGACACCTTCGTAGAGGACTTCGTAGAAACCTAGTTCATATTCGCGTTACAAATGCGAAAAACCCAAGAAAACTCTCATATAGCGAGCCCATTTTCCCATAGATTTGAATCCGGATCGAACTGCAAGTGTTTAGGGGTCTTAACATTTTGGCCGCTGGTGGGCACTACATCAAAATGGATACTGACTAATAAGTGATTCAGAATGCCAAATATCAAAAAGTGGTAATATCAAGACCATTTTGTTAAAATTTAACAAAAGTCTCAAACACACGCACGAATGACAAGCCAAAAAAAAAAAAAAAATTAGCACAATAACATATTATTGTCATACAATATGTAATGATACACAATTACATATTTTTGTAAATTTCTGCAGATATTTAAATATATTTGTGCGTATTATTGTTTTTTGTACCGTTTCATTTAGTATTTATGCATTTATTGCTTTTACAGTGATCATTTTAGAGTTAATTTTGTATGCACCTAAATTTGCAGCCATATGTTTTGTATATGGGTATTTCGTTATTTATTCTTTCTGAAAGCATATGATGAGCTAGAAAAATTTTTTAAGAAAATATAAAATATATATATATATATTTTTTTTAATTTTAAAATTCACTTACTCAATTCTTACTTCTAAATTTTAAATTTCATTTACTGAACATTTATTAAAATATAGGCAAAATAATACATTAATAACACACAGGGAAAATTCCAAATTTATGCATATATTTTATCTGAAGTCTAAGTAATTAAATTTGGTCATGCTTTGTAATTCAAACGCGTTGATAGGTAAATATTAAACTTTGAACAAGCATTATGTCAAGTAATTCCAGTATAGTGAATTAACCATTAAATAACTTTCTTAACCCTGAAATTTAAAACTACTGAAGTACCATCAGTTGTTGCCTGGCAAAACAAATTTACTAACTGTACTAAAAAGGGAAATTCTCCCAACTGTAAGCCGATGACGCCATAATTCTAAGTTTGTTAAGAGTTAACAGTTAAATAGAATTAAAGGAATACTAACTACACAAAAGATTCACCTTGAGTTTTACTTCTGAAACACAATTTAAAAAATTACACTTAAGGAAGTAAAACTTGTGACATTGAAGTTACAAAATAAATCTCGTGGCAGAACACCATGTTTAGTACTTGACTCCAATACACCGACTGATAGGCTATTACCTAACATAATTTGCCTGAATTAAAAATACAGTATGTTTCAAAAAGAATATACGTATTTCGAATGCATATATTTATTAAACTGTATGACATACAAATATGAAACTTTATACACATATGTACGAACTTCTCAAGTTCAGATTACAGATGTTCGGTATGTCCTTCATCAGCGACAACGAACAATATCACATCGATAATCTAATTCCTCCCATATTTGGACAAGCATGTCCGTCGTCACTGATGTACAGATCCGGTTCTTCACCTCTTCCAGGTTCTGTGGGAGTGGTGGTACATACACGTTGTCTTTAATGAAACCCCACAGGAAGAAGTCACAGAATGTCAAATTCGAGAACACAAAAATTATTTCTGCTATGGAGTAGCCATTTCAAACATGTGACGGTTACCACGCGAAACAGAAGACAACTGACATCTAGCGGATATTAATATAAACTAGACTATCTATTCGTTTCGCCAATAGCCCAGCCGAGGCGCAGTGTTCGATAGTTTGGACAAAATAACACTTTGTAATACGTATATTCTTTTCGAAACAAGGTGTATTTCTAGTTTAATGGATTTTTCTCCCTATGAACAATGACTCTATAATAAACTTCACGAGAATATTAATAATGTACTTTTTGTGTTTGAAAACTAATTAATTGCTTGTGTACGGATTCTTTAGGCATAATAGTAACAAAATATTAAATTAAAGAATGCTGCAGACTACAAAATCACAAAAGATTTCCATTCAATGACATCTAAGGGGAAAAATCAGCCTCGAATTACGTATTAACCGACCCCTAAATGCAAATAGAAAATAATGACAAATATCGCCTCTTTTGAAATTAAATATCTCGACCAACTTTATATGAATCTAGAGGTTTTGTAAATAAAGTACCGGATGACCACGTAAAAAGTTACAATTCGTAATTTTTATAAAACTGTTTTTAAAAATTTATAAACGCCAAAACACGAATATTTGCGTTATTTAAAACACTTCTATATTTGAAGTACAGATTGGTTGTGAATATAAAGACCGCGTAAAGACTTTTGTGGATGAGGCGTATAAATTGCTTTACCTATGATATAACGTTAGACTTGCTTGGATCAGATTTCACGAGGGAAGGAACCAAAGAGACAAATAGAGAAAACAGCTTATTATTTTTTTTTTTTTAATTTAAATTGTAGGTCCTACATAATGATTAATACAGGAAATTTGACAGAAATCTTTACGGTTTCACAAATGTATAACACAAAAGCGAATCAATATATTCCAGTACGATGAAAGAACAAATAATCCAGAAAGCGCAAAAATTCATAACAAAAAATCCCAAAGTGTTTTAGCAAGTATTCAATAAATTCAGTACAAGCTCCTTCAATTACATTAAAAGGTAATAGAAGTACTTTTTTAATGTAAAGTAAGTACTTCACATACTCAGGTAAAATTACTAAGTAATTAAATTTTTAAGTAAGTACTCTACATACTTAGGTGAAATTAAAAGCTTATACACCTGCTCTCACTGATTTCATCAGACTCCTATACAACGCTTCTCCAGTTTTAATAACTATTTCAAAGCCTTCGGATATTACGCGATGAGTCTGTTCCATTAATGCTTCGAGAGCGATTAGACACAGGTTCCTCTTATTCAGGACAGGGCAAGAGGATTTATTTTATTGTATTATGTATTTATATTTCAGAAAGTGAGAGAAACGATAAGTTATTTTATATGGAAATCAATGGGTAAAGTGCAAACAAATGTAGCGCCATCTGTCCAGAAAAATAGTAACGAAACGCGTAGAACTTCGAAAATGAAAAGTTCCTGAGGAAGACAAACCTATGTCAGATGCCTAAAAATCAATAGAGTTTTATTCAGCATTAATAATAATTTATTTAAGTTTGCTTTCTTGCTAATTTTAGATATGTTTCCGTCTGCATTATATATGTAGATAATAAGCATAAAATTTCAGAAAAATAGTAACGAAACGCGTAGAACTTCGAAAATGAAAGGTTCCTGAGGAAGACAAACCTATTTCAGATGCCTAAAAATCAATAGAGTTTTATTCAGCATTAATAATAATTTATTTAAGTTTGCTTTCTTGCTAATTTTAGATATGTTTCCGTCTACATTATATATGTAGATAATAAGCATAAAATTTACAAACCGCAGGAAATTTGACGTGCATAAATATCATTCAGAGAAACTTACCTCTGCATCAAAGTCCGTCACGGTAGCTGAGACTACATGCGAGCATTCTTTATAACAGAGATTCGGACTTTTGATGTGATTATTTTCAAGTAAATAGTTTAATAACTACAGCTTGTGTTTCTCATGTCCGCCTCCCTTCACCGAGGTTGGTACAAAGTTATATCTGAAAAACAGAAAAGTACTAAATACAACATCTCTCCTAATTTCTCTACAAAACCAGGTACATTTTACAAAACTAATAAAATTTATTAATATAAATTTCATGCGCTATTTTTTAATATCAAATAAAAATATTTCTAACAAATTCAGTTCTACTGATGTTACGTAAGTTTAAACAAAATTCATAAAATTTTTCGTTTTCAAACTTAAGTCTGTGCAAGGATATACGAGTATTATTCAGATAGTAGTATATATCTAATATTACACAGCTAAACGACTAAGGCATATCGAATTAAAATATATGGAATAGTTTAAATAACATAACATTAAATAAATTAACATGAAACAAGTATTCTGTGACAGGTACGTAATAATGGTATTACAAAAAATTTTAATAAATTATAATAATAAATATAAATGTTATAAAAATTATCAGTTCGATAAAATTTAAATTAAATCAATTTAAATTTATTAGTCTCGAAATGGCATTTTGCGTAAATGTCCATTTCACCTTTCAGATTGTTGCCATCCAATATTATCATCCTATAAAAGAAATTAAATAATGAAGAATCTGCACGAATGTATGTATGTTTCTCGCACTGTGTGTGTACGGAGGGGGGAGGGACGGTACCTAAAGTCATCACATTTTGAATATTCAGGCACCTGGAAGCTCGAATTTGGAATTTATTTTATTATCTATTTCAAATTTTGTAAAACCTTAACGAATTTTGATTAACAAACTCAACGATTTCAAAGCGAGCAATGACAACACTGTATGGGAAAAAAAAATTATCTCCAGCACGCGAGATTCTCTATCAGAAATTTAAAAAAAAATACGCTGTTTTTAAGTATTTTTAGTTCAAAGCGAACACCAGCCCAAATGCTCTGAAAACGTGTATGTGTGTGTAAATGAAAAGAAACGCCCTTTTTGGTATAATATAAAATCTGAAAGCTTCCAGATTTTTTCCAGTTTTTTATAATATATACTATTAAAAATGAAATGAAGATTTAAAGTGTTAAAAATTTGTGCATATCGTTTTAAATCATTTAGTTTGTTAAGGAATTACAGAATTAATAAAGTTTAAAAAGAAATAAATGATTTTATGCTTTGCCTGGTGGCAACTCGTTAAGAATGTGTATGCACGAAGCCGTATGGAAGACAAATTTACTTTAAATTTCGAGCAACGGCAACACCGGCCACGACGAGCGGATGATATGTGAGTGGTAGCGTAACGTAACGCAAACTAATAATCTCTCAGTTTTCGAAGGCCTCTGTTAAAAACATTCTCTAACAAAAAATTTAAAATATTAACCATGTTCGACATTTTTCACTGCAGTAAAATACACAGGTCACCATTCGCAATTCGAGACAACTTTGGCCGTTCGAGGAAATGAATGCCATAGAGTAGTCTGTTACTTTAAAATAGAAAGTTCAAGGTCATTTTCCGCCGCCGGATTTGCCTCATAATCGTAGGAATGACAGCTACAACAGACGTACGTGTTGCCAATTTCCCCTCCATTTCCGTTTAGAGTGTTTGAAGCGAACGAATGAATATTGAGTTGAAATACAGTTCCAAATGAGGTGAAGAAAATTAGTTCTGCGCGGTGAAGACGACACCCGTTACGATCGCAAATAGGGAGGGATAGCAACGGCCTTGATGTATCTTTTTAAACAAATAGATTATAACTGACACTTTCAACATATAACTGCAAAACTGCATTATGAGGAATTTAAGTCTTGCATGGTTACTGATGAAAAACATCAAGGCAAGATTCAATGACAGAAGATATCCACCTGTCGCTTTCTGAAACAAATCCGAGCGCATTTTGTGATCAACTTTCTGAAGAAGACGATGACGAAATTGGAGGAGGAATGCTGTAAGAACATTAAGAGAAGAGATGCATCGGTCAAATAATTTCCAGGAACTTTCCAGGAACAGTTTCAATATCTGCATAAGAATTAAAGATAATCAGCTGTTAATGACTTGTCCTAATTAAAATGCTATGAAAGTAAGTATTTCTAAGTTTCTAGTTATATTTAGAATCAATTAGATAAATTCATTGATACATCGAAAAATACTTTCCGCTTCATCACTTTTCTTCTTTCAGTTCATGAATTATTTTCTGAATTTTAACTAAAAACTTATTTTGTAAAAACCTTTTATTGCTTTTTTTATTAAATATGAAAATCGATTATCCGAGCTTATTCCAGCATCAATCAGTTCGGATAATCCAAGATTATGTAGATGATGCTGATGCAACATTTTTCTCATCATCAAGTATCATAATACTTGGAGGAAAACATAAATACATGGTTGCAACGGAATTTCCTGGGCATTTTCAACATACCCAGTTGTTCTCTTCCCATAACACATCTCATACATAAATGGATTTATATATGTAATCTTACATATATATATACCGATGTAGGGTGAGGTCCGTCGCCCTGTTTAAGGGCTGAGGTGAAGGTTATTGGTGGCTGGTTTAAGGGGAGGAGTGCGGGACGCGAAGGCAGTTGTGTCAACAGCAAAAAGCGGCGGGTCCTTAGATCAACAACTGTTTGTTGGACGTGGCCGCAACTTATGTAAACATCCTGCTTCGGAGTAAAAATGTTCCAGCCAGCAAAAGTTGACCTTAGCAGTGCGAGCAGCAAGAGAGAGATGCGTTTTTTGGTGTTTTTATTTTTACCCGGTTTGCTTGTTTTCTTTTCTTTTTCGCTGGCTGACGCCTACGTCTTTTCTCTATCATGCTGCGTAGTTGCACGCCTTTTTGGTTAATATTCTTTTCTCTGAATTCTCTCTTTTGGGGGTATTCGGCAAGCAGCAGCATTTAGAAAACAATAATGCTCGTTTGTAAATCAGCAAACGCGGTACAGACAGTTGTTATAAAATACTGCTAGGAACAGACACGCTCAAAGAAACAGGTCGGCAAATGACTTTTTAGTTATATTCCAACGCAGAAAATGAATACATGCACAAAAGAACGACACTAATTTGCACGAACTTTAAAGAAATAAACCTATGAACTCCTGATTTTTTTTCCCATCTCTATTAAAATTAATTTTCAGAAATACAAAGAATATTTAATATTACCTCTTATTACAATTTATGAAGGAAAAAAACACTAAAAATGTAAACTCAATTTGTAATCGCATTCCGTATTGGATTGTGAAAAACTAGTGCTTTTTTGCAAAACCTAAACCGCTCTACCAGAAGCCGAACGGGTAAATAGTTGAATCGTAACTCATGTCGATTTAAATACACACAAGTAGCGGAAATTCATCTATCGCACAAGTTATGACTTTTTTTTTTCATTTAAGACTTAAATAAAACGGTTGTTTTAACCTTCTTTTAGACATTGTGATTTGTTTCATACTAACGAATACTCGCTATCGTTTTAGTATGGTCTCTGGAGGACTTTGACACAAGTTCTAGATACAGTAGGGGTAAGATTTATTAGACGTAGTAGATGTTAAGGTTTATTATTATCATAATCAAAGAACAGTATTTTAAATGAAGAGCGTTAGGTGGCCTTCCTCAGGGCGTTCCTGCCCCGAGGTAATCAAAGGAATGAGCGCTGAGGTTTTTGGATCATCAGCAGAAGTACAGCGGCATCTCGGTATACATCATTAACCCGTTTTAGATGCTTGGTCTTATACTAAACGAACTTTTCCAGTAATAAATAAAGGGAAAATAATTAATCCATTCTTATCAAAAAATCCTGTAGGTTTTATTATAAAGCTGTTTAATATTAAAATACAAAAGAGTGAATACATATACTGTACATAAACTAAATATAGTAGATGTTTACACATTTTTAGAACAATTTCAGGGCAGTTTAATTATTGTTTAAACTGTAAACAGAATTTTTTTTAATGTTCGATCTGATAACTTTTTTTTCCTGAACTATAAAAATCCAGATGATTTCTGCATCGTGATTTCCATGATAGAATGGCTTTTCTTAAAATTCCCAGGGGTACTGATTTCCATTTCTTTTCCACTACTTTCCTGAGTCCATCAATCGTGGCGGGTTTGCGCTTAGAAAGAGCTTTTTCAAGAGACCGAAGGCACAATAGTCCAAAAGTGAAACCTCTGGGGTACTTTGTAGGAATACGTTGAAACGATATATATATATGCAAAACCTGTATCAGTCTTCAATTTTTCAAGGAATGCAGAAGTATGTCTTTGGAATGCAGTCTTTTGAAGTATGACTTGTCGCTTCTTCTGGATGAAGTTTCACTGTTTTTAAGTTAGTGGGATAAAGAAATGGAATTTATTCTGTAAATATCGGACGTAAAACGTTTCTTGATATTATGTAACGTTGGTTTTAACACTTAAATTAAAAAAAAGCAGTCGATATTTCTCATTTCAAACAATAAGCTCTTGCCAGAAATTTTTATTCCCCTCCCCTTTTTTAAAAAAAATTCTTTATGGAAATCGTTCTAGAAATGAATAAACACCTTCTGTACAACACATAAATGTTCTTCTGCTACCCAAATCAAAAGCAGTTTTTAAGCATGCTCTAATGTTTCCGTTCGCAACGTTAGTCTGTATAATAGCGTCTTTGTTTTTCACAATCATAGATACTGCAGCTCTCGGCATTCGGTATTTAACAGTCAAATCTAAGTAAGTAAACTTTCTTCAAATTCACTCGATCCGAGCATTTTATGCCGAGATATTGCGCGGGAGCACAACGTATTTGGCTCAATAAGAGGAATTTCGCCTATATGGCACATAATGTGAATGCTACATGATCATGGTACCCTAAGGGAGGACTAAGAGGGTGGAAAGGTGTGTGGTCGACAGTAACGAGGCCAGTGAAGCAAATGGAGTCGTAAATTGGAGAAGCAAAATAGTGCGAGGTGTGAACCTAATAATTACGTAACCCTTAATTCAGATACATCTTGCCCAATCAAAGTAATTTTGTAAATCAAAACCTTTTTTGACTCCCTGCCTTCTTCTTCTGAAGTACTGCGACACTCTCTCTCTTCTCGCTTACGCTTTT